AACTATGTAGAATCAGGTAGGTAGCCTAAGTCCTGGGCTTAGCGAAAAATCTTTGAACAGTACTCGCGTTAAATGATGAAAATAAACGTCCTCGTCGCCACTGTTATGTTCTTGGAAGGTTTTAGAACAATAAATAAATAACACACATAGGTTTTAAACAGCGTGAGTTACTTTAATTCCGGAACTCAAACAACACAAACAAAAACACAGCAAACTTTCTGTATTGTAAGATGGTCGTCAATGACGATTTGATTTTGATGTATTTTTATTAACAAATTTTATTGGCAAATTGTAAATGTGTATTTTCTATGAATTTTAACTATTTTCTTTGTATTATTGTAAATGGTGTAATGGCATTATATAGTTTTGGCATAGTTATTGTTTATTTCTTTGTAATGCACCTCTGAACAATTTTTATTTGAAGAGGCGCAATATAAATAAAATACATTATTTAATAATGGTAAACCATTATTAAATAATAATAATGCAAAGAATTATTATTGTACATTATTATTATTATTAAGCACTGTCTTGTAAACAGAAAACAAGTGTATCTCAACTTAAATTAGAAAAATATTATACAACTGTACAACATTAGTAACTTAAATGTAAATAAAAAGTCATAAAAGGAAGTAAGTATGAAGCGATCATTTTAAACAGCTAGTAATATTTTACTATTTTATTTTACATTTACAATAACGATGCCCAGTGAAATATTATTTACAATGTATGGTGGTATAGTTCTGCAATTTTTAGTAACGTAAACAAGTCACCTAGCCTCTTAAATCAAGGCACTCGCTGCGCATGTCAGCCGTCGACCGATGTAATTCCATAGAGAACGTAACGCAACAATCGTTCAGACTTCTGCAGACGGTATAGTGCATGGAGCGGAGTTGGATTCAGCAGCCGAGTAGTGCAATGTGTGCCCAGCAAAATTTTATTCTAGTCTTAAATAATTTGATGAAAATTATTGATAATGATTTTAATTGTAATAATATTTTATATAGTTTATAAGTGCTTTGCAAGTATTTTTCATATTTCTGTTTCATTTGTTATTGGAGACTCCCTGCCGAGTAATTTTGTAAATTTGAAATGGTGAAATAAATTATACATGATAAACACACTGAGGTTTTATATGTTGTATGCAGGTTGAAAGTACAGTAATGGTTTCATATACCAAATATTAAATTGAAATCGTTCAATCAAGTAATGAGTGTATTGATAACATGCAAAGATTTTATCGGCTAGGACAATAATTCTCGTCCATACTCTCCCCACATTTTTTCATTTTGCAACTTAGCAGGCATCCTTAACTCACTCTCAAAATAAATATGGGATGACACTCATTGGCAAGCACTCTGTCATTAAAAGTAAAAATTGTAACAATAGAACACTGTTTATACTAAGTAATACCGTAAAGCCTTAAAGCCCTGGGCTGCTTCTTTGGAAGGGCTTCTATTTCGAGGCTACTTTTGCCAAGTAAAGAGGAGGCTTCTTTTCAAAATGAATGCTGTAAATTTTGGGAATTACTACCATATAACAGTAACATCAATTTCTATCATAGAGTCTATTAACCGGCATTTAATCAACTAAACTAATGTATAAACGAAGCGTATTTTTAATTTTTTTCTTTGAAATTCGTGTACAGTGCATGTACTGTACTATCTTGGAAAAAGAAAGGTCATGCTATTTGAGATGGGCTTCTTCTTGAGATTAAGCCCATTGGGCTTCTATTCGAGGTTTTACGGTACATAATTTAGTATTTCCAAAACACAATAGCAAAATGTTTTTGGCTATCCTGGGACTGGTAAACATGGTACCCTGTGCCTAGTTAACCGTGGAGCTAGCAAGTTCTCCACATTGGGTGCATGCAGAATATACACTTGAAATATGAGCATCCATCATGCTCACGATTTCTTGGCGGGAAACAATTTCCAATAAAAAACTAATGTAAAAACTGAACATAAAAACAGAACAGAAGCAACACAATATAAATAAGCTAAGTATTTTGGGCATTTTAAAGTGAAGGTATTAAACATTCACAAAGGCGTATAACCTTTGGAGTCCAGTTGTAATTGCAGATTGATGGTCAGAATATTCACAGCTTGGAGCAGAGTTATGAGTGGTGGGTTAGTGCATCCAACTTATACAGAAAACAAAAAGATTAGGGAGTGTAATGAAAATTGAAATACATTCATACATATATATATCGAACCAGCGCCGATATTATGGCTGTTGGTTGCAGTGCCCCTGCCTTAACTGCACGGATATTCGATTCGCTGAGAGTTGAAGGATAAGTGGAAGAATTGAAAAAAATGAGAATTAATGTTTTGGTCACGTGAAAATGTCCTGCCACTATGAGAATTCAACCCACAACCCAGAGATTCGAAGGTGAGCACCTTAACCACCAAGCCACATTTCCGATATAATGGACCTTATTTTTGCTAAGGTCCTACAAAACGACAGCATTAAAACTTATGCAAACGTGTGTTTGTGGGACAGTACGTATGCTTGTTAGACAGGCATATGTGGCAAAGACAAGCCAAACCAGTCACTCGTCGCAAATCCTGTTTTGGAGATAATGGCCAAAACATGCTGGAATGTCAAAATTTTGGAAATCTATTTTATTGCACTAATCTAACCTTTATATATCTATACATCATGCTATGCTGTTATTTTCCTCATTTTCAATGTTAAAACAACAATTTTTAACGATTTGGTGATGGTTTCTGCCTAAAAAATGCCTAAAATCGTAAACTTTGAAGGCTGATTTCTCAAATATTGTTCTTTGAACAGCTGTATGTTTAAACTCGTGTAACTTCATAACGAAGTGTCGGATTTAAATGATTTTTTTACCATTTTATAGCTCTCATTGTACTGTTAAACCCTGTATTAATAACTAAAAATTTTTGATTTTTCCGACGAGTGACTGGTTTGGCTTGTCTTGTCTTTGCCACATATTACTGACCCTGTTCTGATTGGCCAGTTGTTAAGTTTGACACTCCATAAAGGTCCACTGAAAAGTACAGTACCACTAAGCATTAAATTCAAAACCAACAAAACATAAATGTTTTAACTTTGTATGATCCATAACTTATAATTTTATTGGCAATAATTCTATAAGTATTTTACAGATTTCTGCATGTCAAATGTGAGTGCTCATTAATAGTGCTGCTTCAAAACTACATTCCAAGTGTTTTCCTCAAAATGGCCAAACAATTAAACATGAGTGCTGAGGCAACTATGTGTTCTATCTGCTTTAAACTTTGGTACTTTCTTCTTGCTCAATTATGAAATATTTCTGATCATACATTTTCTAGCCTTAAATTACACTTTTTTTAACGATTATTCTTTCCTTTTGTCAGCCCCGGTGACAATTAAGTTATTTTAAAAAATTGACTAGGTGCTCTAAATATGTTGCAATTTATTATTATTTATAATAAAGAACATTTTACATTTTTTAACCAATGATATAATTCAATTGGAGAAATCATAATATTTGATATCTACAAATAAATCAAAAGAAATATACAATTGTATGATAAAGTGCACTGATATTAATTTTTTTATCCATCTTTTCTTATATTTTGGAATTTCACTTTTCAAGCTCATGAGATAAACCAGATGGATTATATGAGGTTTATTGGGTAATATATGTAAACACCGAGCTAAAAATTATGACGTTTGCATGGAGGACAGATTAGCGTTCCTCCAACTCTGTTGCTGCAACTCTAATGAGAACATGTGTATTATTTCAACATGATCTTAATCACTCTCACTGGATTACGTCCCAAAATTCAATACAAATTAAAATTTATTGACTGGTTCTTCAACAAAATTAAGAACACAGTTGGACATTTTTCAAACACCAAAACCTATGGTAGGCTGCCAAAGTTAACAGTCTCGAATCTTAGGACCTATATGATAATCACGATGAAAGGAGTAATCTCATTACAATTCAATGTACAGTAAATGTTTATGTTGGAACACCCAGTAAACACATGAGGAGACCACTTTACTGGAGTCACAGAATGTCTTTTTACAAACCTTTCGGCTTTACGTTTCTTCCTAAGAACAATTAACAATAAACACTTATATATAAATAACAGGAAAATAAATATGTGACAGAAAGGGAATGTTAGCACAGCGATTATTCACACAAATGAACTCTGCATCCATCAAGGGAAGTTATATAAAAACAATGTACACCATGGCAAAACTATGCATATTAACACTAATTACACTACATTATACACAATTTCATGGTTCAGCATTAAAAACCATTGCTTGGTATTACATTAGTACAGCAACATTGCTTGATATTACTGTACAACAGTCCAACCTCCACAAACCAATACATGGTTTACATTGGTTCAACTATCATAACCAATTGTTTGTATTGCTTGATTCACAAATCTTGAAAATTTGCTTGGCATTACATTAGACCAAAACAATCATAAACCAATGGTTCACAATCATAACCCAATGCTTAGTAGCAGATTGGTACACAAAAAATGGTAATATAATGGTTCAACTACCATCAACATTTGCTTGTTTACTTTAGTTCAAACACCATACTGTTCCAACCTGGAATAGAAGCCCAATGAGGTTAATCTCGAGAAAAATCTCGAAATGAAGCCCCCAACCCCATCTTCTTTAGTTTGTAAAAGTAGCCTTGAAAAGAAGCCCATCTCGAAAAGAAGGCCATCAAGATAACACTGGTTCAACAGGCCAGCGTTTAGCATTACAATAAAACAACCATCATAAACCACTGCTTAGTAAGAGGTATGCATTTGTTCAACCACAATTAACCATATATTGGTTCAACCACCATTAAATACACAAGCTTTTTCAGACATTCAAACCCTCTGCAATGAACACTACAAAAAAAAAACAAAAAACACACACACACATATTAATGTGATAAACCTGGTGTTGTGTATATTTGTCTTAAATGTACACTAATCCATCTGCTTCAACCAACTAGTGAATCAAAATAAATCCCTGTCCAGACTATTTGACAAAAGATGACATCACATCATGACCATATATAGGCACATCATGACTACCATACAGCAGTTTTATGTCAAATATGATTTGATAGTCTGGACAGAGCTTTAGTTTGGTCATGGATGGTTTGATCAACAGATCAGCAGATATCAATCAACTTGTCAAGTCATATTTTAAGTCAAATTTAGAGACAGAATCACAAGTATTCTGTGACTTTATAACAACATTTACAAATTTTAGATTTTATAGGCATTTTTTCATACATTATAATATAAATATTATAGACTTTCATAGGCTGTGTACATAGAGCAGTAAATTGATTCATCATAGGTATAACTGTTTAGTTTACAAACCAAAGACCTGCTGAGGAAATTCATAATTCATGATCATCTTTACTTAAAACCTAAACAATAAAGGAAAAAAGTTTGTTCAATTGATGGGACAACATTTCAAATCTTTGAAACCATCTGAATAAAAATAATCATAAATAAAAACAAAACTAACATATATAATCTGCCCAATTAATTAATTATCCAAGATCCAACATATCAGGGGACACATACAGCTATTTGACTACACTTATTCGTCAACTGAGAATTTGTAAAATGTATGGGTTACAATTTCAGAATTGTATTAAATATTTAAAAAAATATTTCAATACAAATTAGCATTAAAAACAAAAATAAAATATGATGTCAATATTTATAATGTGGCAATTTTCAAATTAATTATTGAATGTGCAACCGCTTGACCGGCCCAAAAGATTCTATGCAATTTGACAAGAACATAATTAATTATGCAAAAATTTGCAAAGAAATAAATTTCTCATTTTCAGTTGAAAGATAATTATACCTTAAAAAATAATAACTTAAATATAGAAAGCAAGATCAGCACAGCAGAGCCAGTATATAGATATGATAAGATGCAAATTTTGTGTATTGCTCTCTCAGATTTTCTATGACAAATATCTGTTATTTTTCCATATGAGGGCATGATGAGGTCATATCACACCCATATAAGGGCATGATGACATCATATCACACCCATATAAAGGGTATGATGTGGTCACATCATAACAATATGTGGGCTAATCATAGGTATTTCTCACATGAAACTTGACAAAGCTTAATTAATGTAGGTTTATGATTACTTGTACAGCTGTACATAATTTCTATCTTCTTGTTACTTATGACATTGCTATGGGATCCAGAGTTTACAACAATACAATCAATATAAGTGTATTTAAAATTGGCAGTGAGGAATAGGCATTTTTCTTGCACATCCTTGAGGTCTTATCCAAGTGGGGTGAGGGTCATGTGGGTGGGGATGACTAAAAGAGCCTACGGAATATTTAAACCAAATTATTGTACAGTTTAATTTAAACAATCAAAAGAACAGACCATTATTTACAATACATTTGTAAATCTTATATAAATTTTATGATTTTATATAAAAAAAATTAATTAAATACTTATTAATTATATAATTAGATTACTTAAAAGTTTGATACACATAATTACATTATTGTGAACAGAGATAAGAACTCCTTTGACAGCAGTGATATCTGTCTTTGGTACTGCCATAATAACCCTGACTTTGCAGGTCAGTATACAGTAGGACCACACACAACACACACATTCATAGCTGCATCCCTAGGGAGGGGATACCTACTGCATTAGTCACATAATATACGGCTAAGCCGTGAAGGAAGCGGGACAGCTGGGATATTGGATTAGCAGTTTCAATCTGCTTAATCCACCCCTATACCCGTTCTACCAAATGCATTAATCATTAACGTATATACTCTTCAGTTTGTATATAAATAAATAAATCTTATAATCTACAGTCTTAAGTCATTCCCTGAACGTGCTCCTCTGTCCTTAAACTAAAGTGAACAGGTCTGAATTTAGTATTCCAAACCAGCTGAGCAAATCCACATAGTGATGGTAAGCTTTCTTCTTTGTACAGGAATATGCATTCTATGTAACATGTTAGCTGCGATTCTCTCCTATACCCAAAATGAAATACAGGTGCAAGTAATCCCATATGACATTTCACAAAACAAATTTTATAGAAGAATATACACATATGGAAAAAATTTTAATTTACAAATCTTTGTTGCCTGCCAAGTAGCGCCCCATAAAATGAGAATTCTTGTACAAGGCAGTGAACAAATTAAATATTACTCTGAAATTCATACAAAATAAATTCAATAATGCCACAAGGCCATTTTTGCGCAGTGTACACACATATTTGTTTACTATACCTTATTGTGGTTTGAATGGAGGGGTGAAAGATAGGGGGGAGGGGTGAAAGATAAGGGGCAGAGTTACTTTTCCAGGAGGGGTACATTACTATGTGATGTACAGGGCTTTGGTACAATTTAACCAGAAAAATCCTATCACTTGTATTTCAAAAGCTGGATGAATTTTGCGTGCTTCTGGATAGGAACCATGGAATTTGCTGCAGGTTCAGATGATTCCACACGGAGTGGGGTCAACGCAGAAGAGGTTGTAGGTCAGCTAGCAAGAATTAGGTCAGTCAATGGCTTCCTGGAAGATCAATTTCACGTAACCATGATCACCGCTTAGTGGGTTGGCACAGAAGGGGCAGGCTGCTTGAAAAGTATGAGTTCCATGTGGTAGAGGCACTTCAGACCAAAATCTATAAAGAATAATAAAATAGAAATAATTTAAAAAAAATATTAAATTTTAATATTGATTTACCTTGATCTTGTAGCTAAAGCAGAGTCTCTTACATACGGTTTAAACTTCTGGTGGTGATTTAGCCAGTGTTCTTCAAGCATTTTTTCACTGATGAACAAAATTTATAATTTTAATGAAAATATTATCATCAATTTACAACAATTTAGAAATAAAATATATAAAAAGATGTATGACTTACTTTGCCGTCTTCTCTGTACAGACATGGCCGCAGGGGCAGAAGGCATGTGTTGGGTCACCGGTGTCAACGTAAGAGCTTGGCTCATTCCCCATAAATAAAGCAACATATGAACCAACCTACAAGACAACAATTGTAGTTGTGAATAATTAAAGTCTGAGTATAAGGCACGATCTACAAATTATCCCCAATGACAGAAACAGGTCAAACACGTTTGCTATTGTTACATGACAAGCTTTCCAAACGTGCCTGTGATATGCCCGCCTGTGATATGCAGTTTGGAAGCTTGTCGTTTGAGCCGTTTATTCCGTTTGGAAGTTGACTCCTCTCAATTTCATATGGCTGACTGCAAAATAACAGCGTAATCAAACATACACACGTGTGTTTGTGGGACCACATGTACTTGTGGGAAAAGCATGTACTGATTTGATTTAGTTGCTCCATAGGTTCATGAATATTCATTAGGTTCATGAATCAGTTTATAAACTAAACTAACTCACCACTCTACACATCGGACATGTGCGATCGTCACCTTTACTCTCGTTCTCTTTGCTATCCCAGTGATGGTAGCCATGAACATGGCCACATTTTAGGTATGCATATGGTTGCTTCTCTGTCAACACCTAAAAAAATAAGCACACAATAAAGATATGGACTTCATAAATACATAAATATAATATTCATAAACTATGTGCCATCAATTTGTAATCAATATAGAAAATAGAAAACATAGCTTGATACAATTCATATTCTTTGGTTGGTAATGAGATTTGTTATATACAGAAGACCAAACAAAAATTTGCACATTATAACACACTGGAAATATCATCTGATAAAATTAATAAATTGCATGTGGAATGAATGAGATTATGTGTCAATTCAATGGCGAATCAAAGGGCTGGCAAAAAGGGGGACGTTGGGCCAATAAATCACAAACCAAATGCAAAATCATTTAGACAAGAGAATAAAATGGCTAAAACTCAGAAGCATAGCCCATGTACACCCACAAAAACACCAAAAAACCTTCCTCTCAATCATTGGTTAAAGGCTGTTCGGACTATAGATATTTTGATTGCCTCTCTGGCAAAAATATTCTGGATCTGTCACTAGTAATTTGTTTTTTCCAAGGAGGTTTCACATCTACTGAATGATATAGTTATATATACGGGATGATCATTTGTATCATTTTATATTTTAATTAACATAGCCGCCTCTATGATCTCCTTTAAGGTTTTTGATTCAATTTCTGTTATTCTGTAAGTCTACCCTATCTTATTTAATATTTCTAATTTTTTTAGTTAACCACGAGTACTAGTATTTAAACACGGTAGTTGGCAATTATCACTCACCCGAGATCGTCTACTTGATGGCAAAACAAGAGTATTGAAACCAATCGGGCATTGTGGTCGTGCATCGTTGATATTTTGCCGCAGCATCTCAAGGTGACGTTGAGTCTAAAGAGAGCGATATGGTTGCAATAAGTTATAATATGTCAAAGTTCATATAAACAAAGAGGTTGGGATTTACTATATAAAACCAGAATATTATTACTTAAGACAAATTCTAAACTTACAAAATTATATTAAGCTCTATAATTAAATCTATATTTTTATAATCATATTATATTTATATAATTTATTATTATTACTATTGTTTACTCTACTATAAAATACTAACAGAAAAAAACCTTTTCAACAAGTACATTACTGACCCATGACTAATAATGATAAATAAGATTTGTATAGCGCTCATATCCATTTTAAAGAAATTTTAAAGGCGCTTGAGAAAATAGACAAAAAAAAGAAGATTGGAATATATATAATCAATTAAAATAAACCAGCAGAAGAACAAGCATTACTGCTCAGTTTACCAGCACTTTGAAGCCCCAGTGAGGGTTTGTTGTTTCATGACTCACAGGAGCTCAAATAATGCAAATATCTAGCCTACCCTAAACCAGAAAAATGTTTAAAAACCACAAAAAACTAGAAAATTTCAGATGGCACCAGTGACTACCATCAGATAATAGAATTATTATTAGTATAGTAAAGGAGCGAGTAGATTCAGTAAAGATTTGCCGATGTGAGACTGGTACATAAACTGAATTGACTCATAAAAAATGGGTTATAAAAAAACACAAAAACAATATTGTTAAGGTCAATGCCCACCAAGGATTCTTTATTATGTTTGACATTAAACTTAATTGCTTCTAATCTAGTGGTTCAAAAGGTTCACTGTCTGTGAAAAGTGCTCTAAATTATGTGTATTAGTCTGTAAAATGTTATTTATAGGAAAGACAAAAATAAATTAGTTGTTTCTCATCCCCACCAGTTTCCTTACTTGATGCAACCTTGACTCAAAATAATTTAAATAAAATATTTAGTTTATTGGTAATGTTTTTTTCAGCATTGTAATCTTTTATTGTTAATACTGGTGCAGTAAAACTGGGATAATTTTCAAATAACTCAACTTTGACCCATGTAGACCAAGAAGAAATGTTACTAGCAAAGGTGCCTCCTCCTCTTCAAAAAAATGTTTGAATAAGTAACTAATTTTTATATTTACATAGTCTTAATAGCTAATAAACCCAATATGTAACTAAGAAATATGTTTGTATTATGTAATATATAATACAGTATATAAATAATTAATTAATCTTTTTAATTATTTACTTTGTATGTATTTACTTTGATGTTAAATTTCTTTGTTTTTTATTTAAGTCTGTAAGAATGACAAGAAAAAGTATTGTTATGGCAATAAATAGCTGTGTTACTATTAACCTTTATAGCTTTCTGGTTTATAAAAAGGCTGGTATTTACAAATAGTGTTCAATAAGATTAAATACTTTCACTATTGTGCTCCCAGTTTTAACATTTTTAAACTGCAAACAAAAATGTTATTATTACTTACTGGTGTCCTCATTAAACCAGAGGCGGATCGCCATAACAACGTAGCACCACACAGATCAATTAACGTTCCATCAACTAATACATTTTCTTCACCCTCAATCTGGAAAAATAATAGACAGATAATGGATAACGTAATAGAGAATTGATAATAACAAAAAAATAGTACAACATTTTAAATCAATAAATAATGCTATGATGTTGACACTATTGATAACAATGTTGATGCTACTGGTGACTATGACAATATTACTTACGATGTTTTGAAAATGAATATTTAAAATAGGGCACTTTGGATTGTACAAAGACGGTAGGACCTAAAAGGACACCACTGTGAAGTCATCTGCGCATGCAAAAACACTGAGTTCACGTTGTTGCCTGGATTCTAGGACACAATTTGACCTGAATCTACGTTGTGAAGACAACGTAGGATGGCCACAGATGAGTGAATCGTTGCTAGAGTTACGTTATTGCGCAAATCGAAAGCTCCCTCTTTAAAATATTATCGAACACTATCTAATCTTAACAAATAGTGTTGCTGCATATATAAGATGAAAAAAAACCCTATCCTGATGTATGTTGGTTTAATGCTATTTGTGTTAACATATGCTATGATGTAAGATAAGAAAAGCAGATGTACAATTCAATATCTAATCAGTATAGTCAACTTGTCCTGACCTACTTTACTTAACCTTCTTGACTTAGAAATGGTCAAAGATTCTAGGTCTGAGTATGGTCTGAGAGATATATAACCAGTTGCGGC